TATGAGAAGCTGCTGCAATTGGAGAATGGGGCGGCATATTAAAGTGAAATATGTGCCAGCCTTTTACATACATCTTGATTTACTTCAAAGCTCTTTCAATAGCATATACACCATTTCATTTACAAAAACAACCAACCAAAGAAACAACAGAGAAGTGAGCTCACTTTGACTGGATCTTATATGTAGTGTACTAACTTTAAATAGTCACAGTATGGCTCTAAAGATAAGAAAAATGGCATAAGAAGAAATTCCTAGCAGATTTTTTTTTTTCCCAGTGCACACTGATCTTCTGCACTAAACATGTTTTACTCTGCAGCCTTGAAAGGATATCTTATATTCCCCCATCCTTGAAGCAGTTATATGCCTGGAGCCACACATACTTCATTCTACAGCATGAGGAGGAGTGTGTCCTGTGCCACCACCACACAGACATACACACTGTCCCATATGTGTCCTTGTGCATGTGAGACCCCTGCATCCATGCAGCCCCCTGCCCACTCCCCTGGCATTGATCATGCAGTTGCAGCCAGGTTGGATGACAACCTTTCTTCCCCCCCACATCCCTGCTCAAGCTCCATCAGTGAAAGAAATTACTGTCTGGCAGAGCCTTGGTGGTGCCTTAGTGTATTGCGGGGTTCCTGGGTGCATAGTGGGGGCACAGAGGAAGTCTGGAAAAACACCTCCTCACTGTGCTTTCCTGGGTTTTGTTTTTGACTAAATGAGGCTGCACCCAGGCTCAGCTCCCAGACTAACATGTGTGGGACATGGGATGGCTCCCCAGCCTTCAAGAAAGTCTGCCAGGATAAAGATGTATATCTCTAATTAAGAAAAAACCACATTGTGCTGTAAAGAGCAAAAAAGACACACTCATACAGAGGCCACAGGCCCTCACTCTGCTTTGCCAGATGTATAAGCTTTTTGTGGAAAATCCTTTTTTTTTTTTTTTTTTTTTTTTTTTATAATGAATTACTTAGTTTTGCTTCACCTACACATGGCAGCACCATATCATTATTAATTTGTATCACATCATCACCCACTAACCCAAATCCAAGGTGAGTAATTTGGTGCTGAGTGCTGCAGATATCTGAAAGAAAATAATAGTAACTGTTCCAGACAAATGAAAACATCCTTCTCTGGCTCTTACTATAAGAGCACTTCACAGTGTTCAAGGACAATATTTTCCCACCAAAACCAGAAATAAACAATTGCCTGAAACAGATGCATGAGAAGGAGGATAAAGCAAGGATAACAAGAGTGTGTGTTTGCGTAGATTAGACGTTCACACAGTTTAACCCACCATCTGCCTCCTCACTACCTGCATGTTCAAGATAGCATTGGGTTTCACAAAGGAGCAAGAATTTGCCTGATGCATTTGGCTGAAATTGTTGTTTCCTGCACAATGGTTTGCTAATGGTCCTCCTCCTTCCACCCCGTAATGATGGCTGCATTTCAGCCATGCTAAAAATATACAACACATCCCTGCAGTACTGTGGTTCTTTATATACATGTATATATAATGTATACACAATGTAGGGGAATTAGTCTGTTTGTCCACATGCATGTGCTATCTCTACATTCGTACACAAACATATATGAACACACACGTCTCATCCTAAAGAACTCTAAGTTGCACATACATGTGGAGAACAGTCTTTTGAAGTTACACTAAAAGTGTATACCCAGCCATTCTTGACAGAAAGCCAACAGTAGAAATTCAAACTCTGCTTTCAGCACATTATTTATTTATTACTATAATAAGCATCTTGTCTATAGGGAAAATTCTCTTTTTTTCAGGATCAGTGGAAAATTAACAAGTCTTGATATATTTCCTGTATGAGTTGCTTATTCAGCTTTGTATGAGAAGGAAACAAACATATTGACCAACCCTTCTTAAAATTACATTTGTAAGTAACCATTTAAAATAAGGCAATGACTAAAAATATAACCAATGATGTCAGTTTCACTTTTATGGCTGCATCTCCTATTGGCAGTCTTCTGACCTGGACTGATGTATGCTCTCTGGTGGGGATGAGCCTTGTGTTGCTAGGCTGTAGGGAAAGCTGCATTTCCAACCTCAAAGAGCCTCCTCTCCCATCTGCACATCTCAGTTGCTTCCCACTGAGCTGATGTAAAGACTATTTTCTTCCAAGTGTAACAAAGAGCCTTCACAGTGCTGAAGCAGGAATGAGCAGGAAGGGCCATGAGCACATGAGGGTCTCCCAACCCTGCAAATACCATTATCCCAGATTTGCTTCCAATGGCACAGATTGGCCAGAACCGAAAGCAAACTGACTTCAAGAGCCCATGATGTCCCAGATCTCCACTCTCACTCCAGCAGTTTTATATTTTCTCTAAGTAAACATGATGATCTCCTATCAGTTTTGAAGGCAAAACATAGAGCTGAGTAATTCACGCCCGAATAGTCAATCATTACCCTTTAGAATCAGTCCCATCTCTAATTTACACTCTGTGGGATGAGGAAAGCATTAACCATTCTGCAGGGGAAGAGGTGGCTGTTTTGCCTGGATTTCAGCAAGGTGATAAACAATACAAAGGTCTGAAAGATTACCATATTCCCTCAGAGGTCTGTGAGGATTTCAGGCAAGCTGTGGGAGCTGGGCCCCTGCTCATCACTTAGCAGCAGGAAGGGAGCAGTGTTCATTGCTTGCATATAGATACACAGACAAACAGGGGAATCTTAAAACTTAAGATGAAGTCCTTCCTCCAGTCTCTCTCACAGAGACCTGAAAAACGATAGCAGTATGGTCTGAACCCCAAAATAACCATTTCTTGATAACAAAATTTTCTGGTTCTCCATTTCTAATATTTTTTTGGGACAGTGCCACCTTCCTCAGAGCCCTTGGCCATTTGCCATCACCCTGAAAGGGGAAATGCCAGAAAAGTGAATGGGAGATTATCATAACACCCAGTGACAGGTTTGGCATGTTGCATCTCTAATACTGAATTTGCTTCAAGGGTCACAAGATTTAATCACTGCTCATATCAGTCCCCTTTGGCCATGTAATAGTATATCTCACAATGGTTGAGGCCTTAAGAACTTGAAATTCATTACTCAGTGAACAACCAACAGCAATGTTGCTATTGACTACCCTTATGCAAGTCAACTTTGGTACTGTGGACACTGCTTCTTGGCAGCTCTGGTGTTTGTTATAGGCATCATATCAAATTGTCTCCAGCCTCTAGCCATTCTCCCTGTTTTAAAGTTCTATCTTCAGTAACAATTTTTGAACTCCTGCCTCTAAGGCTGTAACTGAAGCTGATGTAAGACATGTCTTTTTGCATGCAAATGGGTGTTCATTCATTCAAATTCATACATTCATTGTTAGATACTTATTAGTTGGCCTTTGCACACATACACAAATGCTAATTCTGAAAGCAGAAATAAATGAAAGTTCAGCATATGTACATGTGACCTCAAATAGCAGTTTGAATCTCACTGGCATTTTGACCTTTATCACTTACCAGCTAAAATTCAGAGGCAGAAATGTGCAAAAATGAGAAGAGTGGGAGGCTCTGAATTGATCCAAACATGAGCAGAAAGTGATTCTACTGAAGTTGGGCCATCATTTTAGCACCAGGAGAGACTGCAGACATTTCAGACTTCTTCTGGATGAAAGAACAAAGTGTTATTAATCCCAGCTGAAACACAGCGTCATTTGGAGAGAGACAAATGGAAACTCACTGTTATTTTTAAACATACAAAGAACTACCAATAATTCTACACCAAACTTGTAGCTGAGACCAAAGACTCACAATGTAGTGCTTAATCCTCTACTTTACGCAGTAAATAATCTCTAGATCAAACTTTAAATAAACTCTAAACATGGCAAGTAAGCATCCTCAATGAAAAAAGGGGGGATTTAACCCAGGGGAATATACCTCTGCCACAAAGCAGCAACAAATGAAAGCAGGTCTGGTTTTGCATGGCAAGGTCTGCAAACAGGTTTTCAGCTCACCACCTATTATCTCACATAATTTCACTCCTTACTTTCAGAGAAGTCCTTGCTACACCTTCCCTTCTGATTTGCCTCCATTGTTCAAAGTGCCCATAGAAAAACACGCATGTGATGCCTTTCACAGTCCCTGGCAGCATGGAGATGAAAGACGGCCTTTCTAAGCAAGGACCCCTGCTGCTACAATTTCAAACCATAAGGGCAAAACAGAGGCTGACAGGCTTAAAACTCTCCCATAGTTTCTGTTCATCTTTCTGAGTTGTGCTAGCTGAAATGATGTTTTTCCAGCTTTGTTGCTGGGCTTGCATCCAATGTTTACATTGCATTACCAATATCTGCTTTATATTGTTTCTGTCAGTGTTTCAGATAGCATACGTTTTCATTTTATAGCTCTCCTGCTCCCCTTTAACTTATGACCTTTATTGAAAATGAATGCATTTGTCTGCAGACTGTCAGGCAAAAGGGCTGAATCACAGGGGCTTTGCAATCCACTGCAGCTGTATTCAGAAAGCAGTGATGGAAAACCATAAACTGGCTGAGATTAGAAGTTTATTCTGGAGGACCCTACATTTCCTTTGGAAGGCAAAGCACTTTGCAAACCCTCACCAAAACAGAAACAAAGGCCTACTGGGAATGGACATTTTGATACTTTCCTAACATGTCTCTTTTCTGACTTTTTATTCTCTTAAAAGCATTTATCTCCTTTTTGTCATACTCTTACTGTTCATGCAACTCACAGTACCCTTTAACAGATCCTAGGTACTTGCATGAAGCATTTCAGAAGCTGAAGGGGAACTGGGTGAATTCCAGCATTCAGCAGCATTTGGCAGTGGGGACCCGACAGCAGTGCTTGGGCATTGTGTGTTACAAAACAGAGGCAAGAAGCTATTTTGCTTTTATTTCAACAACCCATTCAAACCCAACCACTCAACTGGTTACAACATCAACATTGTTTCCCAGGAAGCTAAAGGACACTCTCTGTTCAAAAAAAAAAAAAAACAAAAACAAACAACAACAAAAAAAAACTTTTTTTTTTTTTTATTTTCTGCATTCATCTTATGTTCACAAATGTGTTGCTGTGAGATCTGCAACAGTGCAAACAGTGCACCTGACAAGGAGAAACACTTGATATAAGGAGGATTGGGTGGGTGTGGGTTCACAGCCAGATGGGTCTGGCTTCACAGCCAGATTTGGAGCTAAGCAAGCTATAACTGAGAGCACCATTTAAGTAATTTATGGAGATCAACAACAGGTAAAGTCAATCTTCTGTCTAATGTCTTCCACTCCCCTGGTATTGTTCTGGAAGTGCGTGTTCACCAGGCCATCTGCAGTTGGTGGCATTATGGCCCACAGCTGGGTATCTTCCATTCTTGACTCTTCAGTCTCTGAGAAGTCTCTCAGAAGAGCAGAAACCCCTTGGTAGCTTCACCAAATGGGCACATTTCAAGGTGGCAAGGGCTGAAATATGAAAACAGACAACAAGGTCAGTGGAACAGGCCTTCTCTTATTTACTTGGCTACTGAGCTGGTGCTTGTGTTCTGCTGTTAGCTAAATGCCAAGTATTGACAACTCATGCACGTTTTAATGGCTTTGGCACTGGCCAGAAAAAAAAACAGCATCTTCACCAAACTGAAGGTTTAGAGTTGAAGGGCTTAGAGATTTTGGGATAGGTATGTCTGGGATATGCTTCTGGAAAAAAAAAAAAGAAAAAAAAAAGTAACTAAAAAAAATTTTTTTAAATCAACAACCAGAGTAAAAAAGTTATCAGGAGCATGTAAGTGTGGTCCATACAAATGAGAGTTAAGGTTACATCTCAGTAAAGCACGTAATTCATGCTTGCCAGAGTTTATTAGAGTCAGAGGAACACTGTTTCATCAAGGGGAAGCTGGGATGGGGAAAAAAAGGAGCAGGGGAGGGGTGTCACTTGATTCAACACCGGGGTAAGAGACGTACAAAACTCAGGTGACAATCATCGTAGTCATCACAGATAGAAAAAAAAATATATATTAAAAGAGAATCGCTTATCCATTTGTTGGCCACACACCACTACTCAGGCAACTGTATCTGTTATGATATACCATGGAGGGCTACTATTTGTAATCATTGTTCCTATATTTGAGTATTCCCTTATTGTGATAATTTTTTTCCTACATCTTCAATATCACCCTTTTTGAAAGAAAATAACTAAAAAATATATGGAGCCCTTAGAAATCTCCTGTCTTTTCGTCTGAGTACTCATTTGCCTCAGGAGGTTATCTCAGAAAAAGGCCTAATCTAAAAACAAAAACAAACAAACACTAAAAGAACACTAAACAACTAAAGCTCCATAATAAACAATTATAATTAATCTGCCTTACCTATGTTCTTACCTCTGAGATCCTTAGATGCAGCCTCAAGGGAGAAGGGCAGCCTGGTAGACACCAAGACAAATCACCCAGCCTGGCCCACTAGCAAAGAAGGACTGACATTGCAGTATTAGACTGGATTTCTGAAATGTGTAAGCTGTACGTTGATGTGGAAAAGTCATCCACAGAACTCAGCTATGCTGTTAGGGGCAGTGACAGTTTTCCATTGGAAAACTGCATTTTATTTTATTTTTTCCTTCTGGCACCGCATGAAAGAGAAGGGATGCTTTCATTCTCTTTGATTAACTTTATCGTGTTTTTATTAGTGTGCTATTTCTATGGTATCCTTGCTCAAAATTTTTGTTTTCAATTGAACAAGATTACTAGTCAGCTGTGGCATATTTTGTTATCTCTTTTTGGAATTTCAAAGAGCTGGATCACCTTGTAGGGAAATTAACCCGCAAAGCATAATTGTTCCTTGCTATGTAGCTGAAATATCTAACCTTGGTCTCTCTCTCCCCCCACTTTTTTTTTTTTTTTTTTTGGTCACTGCATAAACAATGTGCTTCTGGGGTGGCTCGTATTGATCTAAAAAGCCACCATAAATTTTCAAGGTTCAGATTCAAGTTGCATTAGCTGGAAAAGGCAGATCACTATAAAATGTAATATTCTCAAGAATCAATAAATCTTCCTTTTGGAACCAGAGAGGGTTTTCACTGCTGCCCCCTCAAGCCCCCCTACTCAGAGGGAAGCAGGAAATCATGCAGTGCAGGAATGGTCACAAGCCGAGAGCTCACAGCTGCATCAGTGTTGCTTCTTCCCACAGCAGCAACATCCACACTCTGGCTCCTAGACCTAGTGTCATTGCAGGAGCAGAATGGCTGGGGCTGGCAAGTTAATTCAAGGAGCACTGACAGAGCATTTCAGGCTTACCGGTCATATCACTACCTTAATAGAATTGAGATGTGCCAGGACTACATCAATCACTTGTCCAATTTCCTTTAGCATGACCCTTTTTTATTATGGTCAAGTGTTAAAATTTAATGATGCATTTCAGTGTTTTCTAATTACATTTCTACAAAGGATTTTTTTTGTCTTCCTTCGGAATATCCTTCAGACACCAAGAATAAGAGGTTTTTTGTTTTGTTTTGTTTTTTTCATCCTCTTCTTGTATATATTTCATTATAAAATGGTTAGCGTGGACATCTAGTCACAAAACACTTTGATGTGTTAGACTTGTTGCTGGCTGTTTTGCCAGGGACAGCTTGTCATGGAAGTGTCATATTGTGCAGCATTTATTTGAGGTCATGGAGCTATTCCCAACAAGTGGACATGATGTTCTGCTACAGTTGCTACAGCTACTGCTTTTCTGGTGCTTTTCACCAAGCAGAAGGTTCATGTAAAGTCATTCGTCTTGTGGCCACCATAGCCAAAGTGTCCTGGAAAACTGAGACATGATAAAAGAACTGGTGACCATTCAGAGAGATTTGTCAGAGTGAATTCAGCAGTACAAGTTACTGAACTCTACTGTCTTGTTTCTGGGTAGGATTTTAATCAAAACTGTCAAAGCCACTTGACTTTTATTCTTAACACAACAAAATGAGAGAACTCATGTTCTACCAGTGCCATCGACAAGAGAAGGCAGTTTACGTCCTGTTCCTTTGGTCCCAGTGAGCTCAGATGTGGCTGTGCGAGCATGCACCTCTCTAACAATTGAGATAATTGCTTAGAAATCTTACTCCATTAATTTCATTGCAAACCCTATAATCAGCACCTGCCCCTGAAGAATGGTACATATCTGTTGACAACAGGGAGCTCTGAATTAAAAGCAGTGTCTGATATTATTCTCCATTATATATTTTTATATTTTATTATTCATTATTATTAAGACTAAGGTCTGGAAGAGAGGGGTTCCAGCAAGCACCAAGAGAGTACCAAGTGGCAGAGTGAGTGGGCCTCCAGCTGGAAGATGGGCTCAGCCAGCAGCAGTGCTGTGTCAGGGACCAGTGGCCTCCAGCAGCACCAGCCTCCACTTCTGGCCCTGCTTCTGAGGCATGAATGAAGGCTGCGGGCAGGGAGCTCCATGAGATGTCACTGGTCTAAAGGGGAGCATCGTCTTCTTTTTACTTTCAGCTTCACCAGCCTGGTCTGCCTCATTTTCCCTTGACATGAATACTCTGACACGTTTCTCAAGGGATAAATAAAATTACTTAGTTTTTTGAAGGTTTTACTTTAACCTGCTGTTTTCAGCATTAGTTTTCCAACTAGTTCCTATATATTTTAAGTTAAAAATACTATTTGTCCCTTTTTCAATTGCCTCTTTCATTAATAGTTGTTCGTTAAAAACAAGTGACAGATTGTCCTATCAAATCTATTTCTGTCAAAAAAAAAAAAAAAAAAAAAAAAAAGATAAGAAAAAACAAACCAACAAACAAACAAACAACAAATAATCAAAGACAACCACAACAGCAGCTTTAGAATTAGGACAAATGAGTCAAAATATCAAGGAGGCTTGCTGACCTCTCCAGAGATTATCCAGTCCCACCCCCTGCTCCAGCAGGGTCAGAGACAGCAGGTTGCCTAGGATGGTGTCCAGTTGGGTTTTGAATATCTCCGGTGATACAGAATAATACTATTTCATTACTATGGAATTAAAAGTCTCTACAGAGAGCCAGAGTCAGCTATAAAACTTTGTTGCTAATTCACTGTGTAAAGTAGATTTGGAAGTATGACAGAGGTGAAAAACTCATCTTTTTTTTTTTTTTTTTCTTCTCAATTGAGCTTGTGACTAAGCCTTGTTAGTGGTTCAAACCACAGCTCTGAAGAAGTGTTTTTTGTATTTGCACAATAAAGCACAGATGTGGAAATGCAATGAGAGGAGCATTATCTCAGGCAGAAAGAAGCAGACTCCAGACCTAGGAAGATGGAAGTGTTTAAATTCACCAGAACTCCTCCCCTATACATTAGAAATGTGTGCATCCATTTGTCATTAGCACTGCCAGACCCAAATAGCAAGAGGAAAGCCAGCATAGTCCATTGCTTGCCTGGGCACAGGTGGGTGATAGAGCACCCCTGGGAAACCCAAATCTATACCAGCACAGAAAATACTGAAGCAACAGCTCGATCCCAGGTAGTGTCACAGCAGCAAGGCCTGTCACTGCTCGTCTCCTGCAGAGATCTGACATGCATCAGAAAGATGATTTCCAACACAACTTTTGTTTCATACAAAAACCTGTTTGTGCATCCTGTAAAAAAGCAAGGTTTCTCTAAGCTCTTCTCCATTCTGCCTGTTAAATTCACAAATATGCCTGTGTTCAAGTAGACTCAACTGAGGTGAAAAATGTTTTGATAAATCATGTGTCTGATTTCTTCTTTAGCATGCCCATTTGCAATTTGTAAACAATCCCTGGCAGGTAGTAAACCAACAAACTTCAGTATGAAATTACTTACATAAATTATCTGAATGCCATTACAACGGTGATATAGAAATCATGGAAATGGTGGGGATATTATTTTCTGTTCCCATTGTAACCAGACCAGTTAGTTCTGAAATGACATTGCAGGGCTCGTTTTCCAAAACCATCTTGCACTACCTTGACTCTGATCCCACTGAGCTCACTGAAGAAAACTAGGTCAGTCCTAGGAACTACTGAAAATCCCAGCCACGAACGCTACTGCTCATACCAATAAAGCAGATACCCCTCTAAGGAGGTGATAAGCCATTCTAGCATAAAGCACCGTATGCTGGCACAGCTTTGGACCTAGCCCTGTGGGCTGCAGCTCACAGCATGCCCAGACTGCTTCTTGTTGACCAGCTTTCAATGGCTTGTGCATGGTCGCAGAGGAAGTCTGTGACAGACTCAGGGATTAAAATCAGCTCTTCTAATTTCTGGAATGTTTCTGCAACCACTATATCAACCAGCCTGTCACCCTTTCTACAGTATTTATGTATGGACACCATACTAATTTATCATGCTTCTTTCTGAAAGTACATCTACAGCAGCTGGACTTATCACAGAGGCTGAAGCAAAACAATACATCAGACTGAAGAGGAGTACCTGAGATCACAATCACATATACAAGTCAGTCTCATCTGGTCAATCTAGAGAAAGTTAAGGTCTACTTTAATAGAATACTTTTTTATTATTATTATTTTATTTTATTTCTATTAAAACATTATCTAAGTGCATTGTATGTTAAGAACAACAACAATTTTGGTAATGTTTCTCTTGCCAAAAACCAACCTTGCCATACCCTTTTGTCTCTGCTGTGTTTTAGAATATTAATAAATCAAAAACATTGAATTGTCCTTCCAAACACAAACTCACAGCATAATTGTTCTCTATTTTAACACCATAACATCATTTAGCAGCAGTAAAGCTAATTACCACAAGAACAGTTCATGGTCAATGTACCATCTTGTCTTTTAAATGGCCACTAGTAAAGGTATACACGTTTTTCAGACTATTCATTGAAATATAATCTTTCTTTTGAAATAATCATTTCCCATGATTACTGGTGCAAGTTCATTTTATTCCCATGACTTCTGCAGAAGCAAATTTTAAATTCATAGGTTTGATACCCAAAACACTACTCTATGAACAGAAACATCTCCCAGTCTTTTGATCACAAACTATATCCATCCAGAAAGGGTAAGAAATCTGAAACACAACAAAGCAACTCCACATGATTGATGCTTCTAGTTAATGTGCCTCCACTCTTAAGCACTGAATTCTCACTGCAGAACATTTTCCTTAAATCCAGAGTTAAGAAAGAAAGAGGAAATTCAACTAAGAAACTCAATAATAGGAAATTAGGATTGCCTCAATGCTATTCTGTAAGAGAGATGAAATGAATCAAGTAAATCATGCACTGCTGAATTATTTACTCAGAACTAGCCAGGACATATCTGGAGCAGTATTTCTTTAGAGGTGAGGCTAAACTCAATGTTACTGCAGCTTCCACTGTCAGGTGAGTCATACTTCTACGAACACTGAGCGGTGTTTGTTGTTGTCGCTTTTCTCTTTTTTTCCCCATGACTAAAATGCTTATATTCCCTTTTGCTGTCAGCCACTGGGGATAGTCTGGCAGCTCCTGAAGCACTGAGTGACAACGTCAAGGGAGAAACTACTAATATAGAAGGAGCAGCTGCAAGGGAAAAAAAAAAGAAAAAAGAAAAAAGAAAAAAAAAACAAAAACAAAAAACAACAACAAAAAAAAACGCTTATCTGGAGCCTACCTCTTATTCTTCATTCTCTGGGAATTAGTGTTCTACAAGACATTCATAAGAATCAGCTGAAAACTTACAGTAGGAATCAAGCAAGCCATGTGATTTCCCTCAGTGCGCTGCCATAAAGCACGCAAGGCAAAAAAAGTGTTGCTGTTAACCCCCTATCAAATAAAAGTAGGGCAAAGATGTTGGAGGAGAACAAAAGGCTTCTAGAAATAAAGGCAGCTCTTCTTTTCTTTTTCCTTGAAGTTAACAGCATGTATCTTTCT